CTGGGAACGACTGGCAGACAGACGACGCATACACAGACTGATATTTTTCCATCGACTATTCTACAACGACCCTCCCCTCCCCTCATACCTGACAAACCTCATAACAAACACGAGACAAAGAGCTACGGGACTAAGACTACGCCAAGCCCAACTTCTCTCAGTCCCTACTACCCGTTTAACATCCTTCCGCAAGTCCTTTATCCCTACCACCATTCGGCAATGGAATCTTCTTCCTGAAACCCTTCGCAATACCTACCCCATCCCGCCGTGAATTCACTCGTCAAGTCTGGCAGCGATTTGGGGCACCGGAGCCACCAACACTGCATTCAGTAGGGACCAAAATGGCCAACACATACCACACCAGACTACGAGTCGGTCTATCACATCTACATGCACATCTATATCAGTATCAACTTGCACAAAGCCCAGCATGCGCATGTGGACATCACCAAGAAGACACTGCCCACTACATACTCCGGTGCCCCCTATATACACACCAAAGATCACTCCTCCTTAACGCGGCGCGAACAATCATACCAAACTTCGAAAACATTTCCTACAAACGCAAGCTTAGTGCAATCCTATTCGGCCATGATCTTACTGAGAACCAGGGAATCAGCATAACACATCATCTCCATGCATACATTGTACATACTCAACGGTTCAACACACACACACAGCAATAACACACACACACACACACACACACACACACTACACAACATCGTACCCGATTGCTGCTGCCCGGGGCCCGGACACCTGGTGACTATGTCCGGAGGGCTGCTCGGCGGGCTGCTGGCGGGGCCGTCGTGACCTGTGGCCAGGTGGTTTTACTTTGCACTTAATTTTCGTGTTAATATTTCCTTTTTTGTGTGTTTTTTGTGCTTATGTTTTGTGGGAGAGGCGCTTTGATTTAAGCATTTTGCTTTTGCGCCGATCCGCGATTATTTTCGCCGATATTTTTTGTTCGTGGTTACCAAAATACACTGAATGAATGAATGAATGAACATGACCTGACAAACAAGGTCATATCTCCGAAACCAAAAATCACAGAAACTTGAAATTTTCAGTGGACATCAAGAAAGGATAGAGGAGCAGCTATACCAAAAATCAGCCTTCTAGCTCTAAAAATGTTGAGTGCAGAGCAGAAAGACTACCTGGGGGGTGGAAACCACCCCTCCCCATGTGCGGGCGAGGGTCTTAGAGAGTCACCCGCGCCCCACTGGGGGGGGGGGGCTATTTATAGCCCCCCTCCCGTTTTTCTGCAATAACTTCCAAACCGCTTGACGGATCGACGCCAAACTTTCAGTACCTTCAGCTGCATCAATTTGACACCTTGTGTCAATATTTGAAATTCGTAGCTACCATAGGTCGGCCGGAAATGACGTCAGAGTGACGTCATGTTCGGCCGATTTCGACGCAAAACATTGAACCACGGCAATCGCTCCCAAGAGCTCGGTTTTTAAGCTAGATCGAATTTCTTTGCATGAAAGGACTCAAAATTGACCGCGCTATCAAACTGCTATCTCGGATCTTCGAAGTTTTGAAAATTTCGAAAAATTTATACAAAAAATATTCAAAATTTATATTTTTATATTTTTTTTCAAAAAGTTTTTGACTTTTCGAAAAAAAAAACGGAATATATGTGACAGAACGCATGATTATGACTAACTCTAGCAAGTTTTAGCTAAATATCTTCAAAAATGGCCAAGTTATACGCATTATTGCAAAAATTCACAATTATTAATTTTTCAAATCACCTTTTCAGTACGTATTTGACATCGTACACCAATATAAATGGCACCATCGTGTTCCTGAGCTCAAACGACTCCTTTTTTGTTGAAAAATTTTAACTTCAAAATTTGACCTTTTTTTACCTGAAAGTGACCTGACCTAAGCTAAATTTGACTCAAAATGACCTCGAATGACACAGACGACATCCAATTCGAAATCTATGGCCTAAATGGACCATAAAACATGTGTCACGTGACCGACGCATGATATAATATCTCCGTGACCTGTGATGACCTGACCCTGACCTGAAAATCAAAGTACAAGTTTGGTACCCTCAAGGTATCTAGAGCATCTGTTCACGAGTGTGGAAACCAAAAATGAGCCTGATCTGACTTGTAAGACGGCGGCCAGAGCCCAAAATGTGAACAAGCCAAAATGCTAATAATTTTTACTTTGACCTGACCTGTGACGTCATCGGTGACCTCGAGGTCAATGAAATTAGGTTTCGCTCGACAGTTTTTCCGGGCCTATCAGACAACGTTTCAATTTTGACGATCGGCCCAGTAGTTTCGGAGTTAGGAGGGGGGCTATGAATAGCCCCCCCCCCCCCCAGTAGGGCGTGTTATACACAGACCCCAGTGGGGCGCGGGTTAACCCCCGCCCGTATATGGGGGGTCGAACGGACCCCCCATGGTTTTTCGCGAATAACTCGCGTAAAAAGCTGCCGATCGTGACGAAACTTTGAGTACCCTTGCGTTAATCAATTTTACATCTACCATGAAAATTTCATGACCCTGACCCCAATGACCTTTGACCTGTGACCTACTTTTCAAGACCATGTTTGGCCGGAATCGCGATTCGGCGTATGTCGGCTCGCATTAGCCTCGCGTTTGCAGTCTTTTCGTGGTTTCAAGCGTTCAAACATGTGATATGATGTTGCCCCCATGCATTAGGGTGGGTGTCAAGGTCACCTGAAGGTCAGGTCAGGTCATTGACCTTTGGTGACCTCGGTTCACTTTTCCGAGTTTTACATGTTTTTAGGCCAGTTTTTGGAGCTGAATTCGAATTTAGCAACCAAATGAACATTTACAAAGTAGTTTGTTTTGGTGCCTTCGTAACATGTTACGAAGCTGTCAGAGGCGGTTGACACCTACTAGGAATACCCGGCAGGACCCCTACTGGTTGACCTGACCTGACTTGACCCGACCTGGACTAAATGCATGAAGACATCATCTGTGATCAAAACTAACATGATATTCATGATCAGCGCCCCGAAAAACCCCATAGCAGCCACACTTTACGACGTTCTAACAAGTCCCGATTTTCCGACTTTTGGGTCATTGACCTGACCTGCAAGGTCAACCAATGACCTAGGACCTTAAAATTAGGTATCATCGGCTTCTTCTCGTCACGGGCAACACGCTCGTTTTTTCCGCGAAGCTCTAGCTCGATCAGGGGCGAAACGACAAGGGGGGTCAAACGGACCCCCCCCCCTTATACGTTCGCGGCTGGAAAAACACCGATACGGGCGAGGGTTAAGAATGGTCGAAATGCTTAATGCTGCATAGCATTCGACTCGGCTCTTCAACAGCAACAGAATGATATAATTTTGAAAGTTGTATCGTTATTGTGTGAAAAGTTATTGGCACAAACGTCATTTGACCTCAGTTGAGCTCATTTGACCTGACACATGGATAAGTACACCAAACAAAGAGGCACCAAGTGACATAACATTAAGTACTGAGGTTTCAAAGCACAAAAGTGATAGAACCCTCATGCATGGGAGCAACATCATATCCCATGTTTGAACGCTTAAAACCACGAAAAGACTGCAAACGCGCTGCTAATGCGAGCCTAGGACATCGTTTAAAATTCTTCATAATATCTAAAATGCCAAAAATTTTGGGGAAATAACACGAAAATCGTTAGTGTCAAGGACACTTGGCCCCAAAAAAGGTAAATAAATAGTTTCATGAGGCAGATCTGGAGCAAAAAGCTTTCTTTCAGACACGAAAACCCGACAAAACCACATGATAGACAAGCTTGGGCCGTTTACAAAGCAAAAGCTCTCTTGAGGAAAACACTCGGCAACCCACAGCAAATATTTTGGCATGGGGAATATTGACTATTGAGCGTTTGTAATTTGCAAAATCTGAACGGCGTGTCTCAGAAACAGATGGTCAACACATTCCGCTACGATATTATGCAAAAAAAAAAAAATACTCTTGGCAATTCCCGTTTGTTCAGGAATGGGGTCGTTTTGAAAAGGGAAATGTTGCTTTGGATGTCGGCGCCAGCCTTCGTGAAGAAGTTGGCGCCAGAGAATATGCCTACAAAATGCTCATGAATGGTGTCGATGCAAGCTGTCGGCTTTCAGGGAGAAGCAAATGTGGCCGGGGAGCTCGTTAAACCTAAATTCGAAGCAGAAACTGCAAGGGATTTCTCTGCAAGAGTTTGAAAGCAGGCCAGCTTTTATCAGCCTCTGGCAGCTGACGGAGCGACGAAAATCGGTACCGGCAAATATTTTTGGAGCTACAGCAAAGGGTTTGTTTTCAAACATTCAACAAATGCACGTTGTCAAAGCACGTGCATTTGTCTAGTGTACACATAAGCATCAAAACCTTATATTTTTAGCTTGTTCTTATATGCTTTATTGGCATTGAAAATGTGTCAACGAACTTTTGAGACACCCTGTAGTTGATCCCAGCTGCCTAATATCAGGCACACTGCAGGCGAAAGGCAATTTCACGTAGGTACACAGAGTGAAAAACCGGGTCTAACCACTGCCCATTGGAAGAAAATTGCACTTTCACAAAATCGGCCCATGCCTTTCAGGTCTCCCCTACCTGAAATGCTATATAGGCTAGTATAGTTGGGTTCAAATTTTGACCCTTAGTGACCTGACCTGGTATCAGTGACCTCTTCAAGCAACATATGCATTAGACAGCTGACGCTCTATCGATGATTTTCGATTACATGCCCTACCTACTCGATGTTATAACGCATTTCCTATAAAGCCTGTACAGTTACACTGTAAAAAATGCGACCTTTGACATGACCTGTGACGTCATTGGTGATCTCGAGGTCAATGAAATAAATTTTATTCTAACAATTTTTACAGGACTACTTTATTGAACGACGTTTGCGTTTTGTAAATCTGTCCAGTATTTCCGGAGAAGGCAGCGGGGGAAGGGGGGGGGGCAAAAAGAAGCCACCAGGTCGAGTTATATTCAGACCTGCAGGACGCCGGTTAAACACTGGCCAGGTTCTGTTGCGGACCGAAAGGTATATATTATATACAGGTGGTATGTACAATGTACATTATACATTATACACCAAGTAACAACACCACACCATTAGCAATCGAGGAGCCTATGTATATTTGTATGACAAGATTCAGTTGTCACTGCGATTCATAAACAGCCACGACGAATGCGTGCCTATAGCTCCATCCGTTTTTGGTTCATCGTCTTTGCATTTATCATGCGGCAGCCCTCTTTGACCTGCATGTACCGACACTCAGAGTATATATCAATCTATGTCATCATCATCTAAAAATACCACCACGGCGTTAGCAGCCTCTCCGGCTTGGCTTTATTGCAGCAGCGTTCACCGCACTGTTCCTTGCCACGTGGGCAGGAGATAGGGATTGTTATGATACGAAACGGGGCTTCCTTCGGCGACTCATCTTCGTCATCGTCTGGTGCATCATCGTCCTCCTGTTGGTCGTCCTGGTCGTAATAGTCGTACTCCTCGCTGTCTGTGTCGTAATCGCCGTACTCCTCGCTGTCTGTGTCGTAATCGCCGTACTCCTCGCTGTCTGTGTCGTGATTGAAGAAGTCGTTCCACCAGTCACCCAACGCCTTACCTGACCCAGGCTGACAATGGAGAATGAACACGACCAAGAGCTGAAACGGACGACAAAAAAAAAAACATAGAAGGGTTGGAACAGCCGATGAAATTCAAACGAGAAAATAAATGATCGTTGATATACAGAAGCTTAACCCGCGCATGACTGAGGGAAGGGGGCTCTACAGAGCCCCCTCCCGTTTTTCGGCAATATCTTCTAAACCGTTTGACGGATCAACACGAAACATGCAACACCCTCAGCGTCATCAATTTGACAGCTTGTGTTAAAATGTCAATTTTCTAGCTACCATAGTTTGGCTGGAAATGACTTCAGAGTGACGTCATGTTGGCCGATTTTGATGCAAAATATTGAATTAGATACGTCAAACGCGCTCAGAAGCTTAGTTTTAACCCTCGCCGGCACAGGCGGGGGGGGTTGATGCAACCCCCCCTAAGGTTTTTCGCGAATAACTCGCGTGAAAAGCGGCCGATCGCGACGAAACTTTCAGTACCCTCGCATTGATCAATTTTACACCTACCCTGAAAATTTCATGACCCTGACCCCAATGACCTTTGACCTGTGACCTCTTTTCTGTGACCATGTTTGGCCGAAATCGCGGTTCGGCGCTTGTCGGCTCGCATTAGACGCGCGTTTGCAAGCTTTTCGTGGTTTCAAATGTTCAAACATGTGATTTGATGTTGCTCCCATGCATTAGGGTGGGTGTCAAGGTCACCTGAAGGTCAGGTCAGGTCATTGACCTTTGGTGACCTCGGGTGACCTCGGTTCACTTTTTCGAGTTTTACAAGTTTCTAGGCTAGTTTTCGGAGCTGAATTCGAATTTAGTAACCATTTGAACATTTACGAAGTAGTTTTGGTGCCTTCGTAACATGTTACGAAGCTGTCCGAGGCGGTTGACACGTATTACGAATACCCGTCACAACCCCTACCGGTTGACCTGACCTGACCTGACCCGACCTGGTCTAAATGCTTAAAGACATCATCTCTGATCAAAACTAACACGATATTCGTGATCAGCACCCCGGAAAACCACATAGCAGCCACACTTTACGACTTTCTAACAGGTCCCGATTTTCCCGATTTTCGGGTCATTGACCTGACCTGGAAGGTCACCCGATGACCTAGGACCTTAAAATTGGGTATCATCGGCTTCGTCTCGTGACGTGCAACACGCTCGTTTTTTCCGCGAAGCTCTAGCTCGATCAGGGGCCAAACGCGAGGGGGGGGGGGGTCGTACCCTTGTGCCGTCGAAGGACTCAAAATGGCCTGTGCCGGCGAGGGTTAAAGCTAGATCCAATTTCTTTGCATCAGTGGACTACAAATATGCTATCTCGATTTTTCGAAATGTTGAAAATTTTGAAAAATATATTTTTACAATTAAAAAAATATATTTTTGATTTTTTCAAAAAGGGTTTGATTTTTCGCAAAAACCGGAATCTATGTGATAGAACACACACTGATAAAAATAGCCAAGTTATTTGCATTATTGTCAAAATTTTAAAATTATATTTTTTCAAAGCCATTTTCAGTACGTTTTTGACATCGTACAGCAATATAAATGGCACCATCGTGTTCCTGAGCGCAAACTGCATATGATAGGCACCTTTTGTGTTGAAAATTTCATTTTCAAAATTTGACATTTTCTGACCTATAAGTGACCTGACCTCCGGTAAATCCAGCTGAAAATGACCTCAAATGACACAGACGACATTGTTTTCGAAATCTACGAGTAAAATGGACCATAAAACATGCGTCACGTGACCGATACATGATATACAATTTTCGTGACCTAGGATGAGCTGACGTTGACCTGAAAAAATCGAAGTAAAAGTTTGTTACCCTGAGGGTATCTAAGGATTAACCCTATTAGTGGCAGGGGGGGGTGTTTTTATCCACCCCTCAGGTTTTTCGGGAATATCTCCGAAACCGCTGAAGCTACGATGCTGAAATTTTCTGACTTTTCCTAAAACTAAATTGGGCACATTCCCTGAAAATTTCAAGTTCATAACTTTACCAGGGGCGGCTCCAGAGCACTGGGAATTGGGGGGTCCTATTCGTGAAGCGAGTCATTTGGGCGAAGATCACGATGCTGCACCAGTTTTACGAACAGTGAATGAAAGGTATCATGTGATAACATATACAAAGTTATTGTGCATCCTCTTTTGACACGTTTTTGCTATAATAGGCGGATCCAGGCGTCCAAAAAGGGGGGGGGGTTATTTTTTACCTCCCAACATAGGTGCCCTGACACCGCCTATGCATGACCAATACAATTTTAGTCGTTCTCTCATAAGAAAATTGTAACATTACAAGTCCATTGCCACCCTTTTTAGAACCAGTACCAACAAAAACCTTATTTACTATACTTTTTGTGTACCCCCAATCTCAATGATCTGTATCCGCCTATGATTTTTGAAAATGCATATTTTTAGGATCCATGTGAATTCCTGGTTCATTCTCTATCGATCGGCAAAAGTTGCGTTAAGATTGGTTCAGAAACCTGGCCGTGATAAACAGTATAAAATGTATCTGCAATTTGCCCGTGTTTACCCCCCTCTACCCCCCTATTGACATTTTTTAGTTTTATTTTTTTTTTTTAGAAATGTAGATCTCGTTGAGCCAAATCGAATGCCGTTTGAATTTTGAAAATCGGCCGGTTGGATCTCGAGATATCAAGGGGGGGTCGTAAACAGCCCCCCCCCCCCTGCCACTAATATGGGGTAGCCAGGAGCCTGCCACTAATAGGGTTAAGGAATAAATCAAGGAGTGCGTAAACCAAAAATGAGCCTGATCGGAGTTGTCGGCCGGCGGTCAGAGCCTAGATTGTGAACAAGCAAAAATGCCCATAATTTTTATTTTGACCTGACTTGTGATGTCATTGGTGACCACCTCGAGGTAAATCAAAATAGGTCTCGCTCGACAGTTTTTCCAGGGCTATCAGACGCCGTTTAAATTTTGACGATCGGCTCAGTAATTTCGGAGATAGGAGGGGGAGGTTCTGGAGAGCCCCACCCCCCACCCCCAGTCACTCGCGTTATGGAAAATACCCGAGTCATGAGCGGGTTAACACTCGCCCGAACATGGGAGACGTGTGCATCCTCCCTCCCAAGCCTTTTCACGCATGGTTAACCCGCGCGGGGCTGGGGGGGTAAATTTTACCCCCCCTCGCGAATTTTTGCGATATCTCAAAAACGGCGGCGCGCAGCGCCGCCAAACTTTCAGTACCTTTTCTTACATCAATTTAACACCTTCCCTAAAAATTTGAGCGAAATCCGTCGGAAAATTTTTGAGAAATTGACGTTTTAGTGACGTCATGTTCGCCATTTTCGCCTCAAAAACGGCAAAAGTTCAGACGCCGCTAACATCTTCATTTTTAAAGGAATCAAGACGTAACAAAAAAGGTTATACGTAATTTTACTTTGTCTATCAAATGGCTATCTCGATTTTTTGAAAATTTTGGATTTTGGCCTAATTTTTTTTTTCAAAAAACTGATTTTTTGGGAAAATAATTATAAAATCCAAAATTTTGAGTCTATCGAAAAAACCGGAATATATGTCAGAGAAGTGGTCTATATGCACCTACATACCAAATTTTAGAAGAATCGGTTCAAAAATGTGGGAGTTATTCAAAATTTTATGACGTCACGACACACAATTTTTTTGAAAAATAACTTTTTTGGAAGTTCTAGACCTCGTACGGGAACAAAAATAGCACCATTCGATTCGCCGTGAAAAACTGCATCAGATAGACACCTTTTTAGGCCTTAACAACCAACTTCAAAATTTGACCTCACTTGACCTGACCTTGACCTGACCTCGACCTGAAATTCATCCAGAGGTGGTCCATATCACTTATTGAGTGTGCCTATTGAATTCTATGAGTAAAATGACCCATAAAACATGTGTCGCACATGCCCTTTTCTATATTTTGTTTTTTGGTGACCTGACCTGACCTGACCTGACCTTGACCTTGACCTCTGAATGATATTGTATGCAACTAATATTGTCTTGGTAGCCTAAGAACACGTTTTGGGCGATCAGTCTCAGTCCATGACTCCATTCTTCGGCAACTACGGTGCAAGGCTGATACTGTAGAAACTTGCAATTTGTACCCTTGACCTGACCTTGACCTTGACCTCAAACTTTAAATTAAGTACATGTTTTTAGTAGTTCGTGATGAGAGCCTTCGATTGGCGTTTGAATTTTCCAAATCGGACCATTAGTTCGGGAGATAACAGGGGGGTAAAATTTACCCCCCCCCCCCAGCCCCGCGCGTTCGGCTGGAGACCCCAGCCCCGCGCGGGTTAAATAACTTGGGATGAGGGCGGTGCTGGACGCATAGTGTTGCGATGCAAGTTTTGTTATGTTACTCAATGAAATATCATAAATACCATTTGGTACCCATGAGGATAATAATTTCTGCTTTGTTTTGGCGTAGGTACCAGTTTTGGAACGAGTAAAAGGCAAAAGCAGCTCGATTTAACGAGTCGTACTGTCCAATTGACTCACCAGGCTCAGTCGTGCGACTCTAGTCGAGGGAAGGTAGCGGCCACCCATCCTGCCCCCGTGGGTGTGCGGCTTCAACTGGTCCGAGGTCGGAACCTCCACTTACTTTTGTCACCGGACATGCCACAACAGTCGCACCTATGCCGATCCGGAGCTCCGGTAAATATTCTGGCCCCTCAGAATTCGGGGGCCCTTTTCACGGTCGCGCGCCGTTCAGTTTTAAATGCTAAATACTTGGTCAATGCCGGACTGTGAAGGACCAATGTAAGCCAGTATAGCTATCACGTCGTATTCAACTGGTAGATAATACAACCATACATACATGTCACTTTCCATACATGCATTATGCATACGACGACACTGTACATCTGGTTCAGGAGCAGACCTGGCCAATGCGTACTGCGTAGGTGCACAGCGAGTAAGCAGAGACTCCAGAATGTGGTTGAGGGCCAGATCATCGTTCAATATTTCTCCGATGTGATTCTTCGTTTTCGTTTTTTTACCAAAATTTCGTTTTTCTTCTAAACGTTTTTCTTCCAAAATGGTGTTTCCACCGCTCTAGCATGTTCATAGCTGAGGCTATTGTCAACAAAGAAAAACCTATTAGAGACGTCTCATGATCTAAGATGGCCTCGGGGGCATAACAGGGGTCACGTGTGCCATTCTCCAATTCAATGTCATGTTCACCTACATCCCGATGCTTGAGAATATTTTCGTTCAAAAGAACAGCATTTCAATATGCTCCCATTGATGTATGAGGAGGTCGCAGAATTAACCTGACCTTAGCTCACCGATATCAAAATTTTGAGATATTACCTATTACCAACAAATTGTTGGTAATGATTCCCTCGTGTAATAGCCCGAGTTTCAAGCATACAGGATGTGAACTACAGGAACGGCATAATCAGAAGTTTTTTTTTTCAAGTTTTTTTTTGTCACTGCACTTGACTTGGTGACCTGATATTATATGACCCGGGGTCACAAATTTCACACACGATGCGAAATGCATGCATCATAAGCTATACCTACCAAGTTTTCCGCCCGATTGTCTTTACATAGGTATAGTGCAAATACAGTGCACTATAGGGGAGAGCGGGGAGAGTTGTATCATGTCCAAGTTGTATCAGGGCGAATTGTGCCAAACTTATCCAATAGATAGCGCTCGTGACACGACCAGCCGACGAGGTTTTCCGGGCGCCATTTTTCCCTGTTCTGTCGTGTGGCTGGGTGGACGCGTCTCGAGGTGAGAGCCGATTTTATGTTTTTTTAATGTCATCCTAAAAAAATGAGTTGCAAGAAAATGTGTGTTTTGGGCATTTAGATGTGCACGAATTTGAAAGATCTCCGTAGCGGTGGTGAGGGTAGGTTCTAAGGCTGCGTGAGTGAAAATGGATTTCTCCAGCTGTCCGCTGTTTTTGAGCACGAGGATGTTTTTTTCAAGATGGCGGCGAGGTACATGTTGTATCAGAGCCGGGTGGGGTATGTTGTAATATGTATGTATGTATGGGTATGTTGCTTTTGATCGCGAAAGCTAGGCCCTGTCTCGCGTTTGTAGGTAGCTAGTCAGTACTCGTTCCATTTCGGCACAATGTGTTGGCTTCTTTGCTCTTAACGGGCCACTTTTGCAAATAGTCTGTTGATGTTTCGTTCGTTTCGATGTTCGTTCGGATTGCATTGACCTAAGTTTGGTCTAATAAAAGTGAAGCCTTTGAGCATATACATTGTATTAACCCCATTTAATGTTGTTGTTATGTTCAAAACCAGTAGCAAGCACACTCCCTGAAACGTGATATACCTCGTGATACAAATTACCCCACCATGTGATACAACTCACCCAAGCCATGGGGCAAGTTGTATCAAAAACATTGTTCTTTTCGGCAGACCGTAGAAGAAAAACTGGTAGAGGTAGCAGAAAAGTTACTTTGCACAAAAAAGCAGAAGAATCAAGGAAGGAGATAGTATGGAAATAATGAGTTCATCACGGATAGTTACGAGGTTATGGGTCTCGGAGTAAAAACTGATACAACCCACCCCACTCTCCCCTACCTATGTATTAGTGCACTGTATACCACGACAAAGCTGTCATTTGAATTTGACCAAAACGTTCGGACCAAATTATTTTGAAGAAAAAAAAATCAAAAACTATTTATTATCCATGTTGAAGGAAATGAGTAGCAGTAGGAATTACCTTCACACATAACAGCTAGAATATTCAGCGGGTATCTATGCACCTAACGAGGTATGTCATGACTGGCCTTCAAATGCGCTGTTATAGGTACCTATATTTTCTATTTAAACCTTATAGGGTTTACGAAATCAAAACTACTCTAATGAGCTAGACAAGACAGTGCATTGCACATTTGAATGAAATTTCTGTGTGTTGTGTATATTTTTTATTCAAACCTTATAGGGTTTACGAAATCAAAACTACTCTAATGAGCTAGACACGACAGTGCATTGCACATTTGAATGAAGTTTCTGTGTGCTGTGTATATTTTTTATTCAAACCTTATAGGGTTTACGAAATCAAAACTACTCTAATGAGCTAGACACGACAGTGCATTGCACATTTGAATAAAGTTTCTGTGTGCTGTGTTCTAGAATGATGGCACGATGCAACTACAGTTACCTATTGTATGGCGCGCACAAACTGCAGTCGAGCTCCGATATGTGATGTAAATAAATGTTACCGTTTCTTCATCTGTGTTTTTGCTCCGGCTTTTTCGGCACTTCGGCAAAAGTAAGTTCCCCATTAGATTTGCTCACACACGCTAAGGATAGGCTCCTACGTTGCTATTGCTTCCGGGTTCACATAAACCGACTTAACGTAAAACTTTGTTCCTGGCCAACATTACCAGATGTAATGACCCCCGGCTCCAGACTGGCTGTAGGCTGGCGGAGCAAAAAAAGAAATAGAAGAAAAAAGAGGGAGCGGTAAACAGATACGACTCGCCGAGCCGCCGCGGTCGTTCCATCGGACACGCTCTGAACCCGCCTGGTGCCGCTCGTCACATCGCCTCAGCATAACACCTGAGCGGCTGACATGCGCTCGCCTCCCTACAAGGACGGCGCTCCCTGTCGAACTGCGCATAAACTCACACAAACAGATACTCAGCATGTTCTGTTTGGCCTTCAGACAGGACAATGTGCAGTACACAAGGGCCCCAAAAATCCCCGCTGAGGCCTGCAGCATTGCTGAATAGATGCCGGCTGATGCGGTCTCAAGTCAAGGGATAGGGGCGCGGCCCGGAGCAGTAGCAGTACCTTCAGAGTTGGGGCACACCATAATGAAATTCAACCTAGGGTACCTACCCCCAAATCTAGTTTTCTCATCTGTCTTAGGCCATTCGTTTCTTATCCCTTTGCTTTTTCAACAACAACAAAAATGCAAACAAGTGCGGTATTCCGTCTCAAAGTTGTGGGAGCACCGCCCCACGGCCCCAGAGTTGGGGGGCAAGCTGCCTTCACTGCCCCCACTGCCCCCCGATTCCCGCGCCTATGAGTCAAGGTGTGGAGGGAGGGGGGAGGAGGTGACTGAGACTCGTTGACCGCTGAGACTGAGACTCACAAAGGTCAGAGGCCAGAGAAGACCTGACACAGTGAACCGACCCGGCAGGACAAGGGAACATTTACCGACCTCGCCCGTAGCTGTGGTTATCTTTTGGCGTCTTTTAGACCTGAAACCGGACCAGCGAGGGAGAGGCATGGAGTCGAGACCGAGTATCGCCAAGAAGAGTTTGATAAGAAAAAGGCAGTGGTTCAACATGTCTAGGAGCAGATCCATCTGTAGAGCACCGCTAATGGTGGTTTACCAGCCTCTGACGCACACAGAGTCAGTCGGAACCTGCACGTTCTAGAAAGAGGTTGGACCCTGTGTACGAACGACCGACTGGGGGAAGGGAGGGTGCCGGTGGCTTCTTCATCTTCAGCAAAATTCAACAAAGCTCGCTTTTACGGCTTTTTCGGCTCGCTTTTTGTCAATTGTCTCGCTTTCCAAGACAAACGCTTGTTTAGGTATGATCATCGAAAGGTAATTCACGAAGTTTTGACCCTACGTACGAAGTTATAGGAGCAAAAACATCTTTTTTAAAATGCAACTTACGAAAAAATCCAAAGAGGAAGATTTGTATTTTTTCACGAAGTTATATCCTCTCCTTACCCTATAGTTGAATGCATTTCAGTCACCTGTGTAGGAACAGGGGGGGGGGGGACGGTGGGCCGGTGGCCCCCCCACTTTTCATAGTGGCGGGGGGGGGCAGTAGTGTTAATTGGCCCCCACTTTTTGCCGAACCTTTTAATGTATTTGTAGGTATCACCCCGAAGAACAAACTTGACGGTTCTCTGGCCTGCCCTTCCATGAAGATTTCCATTTGTGCTTCATCGTTATTGAGTGCAATTTTCCTCCACCCAATGAAAGGTAACTTTGTCAGAAGCAATAAGTGGCAGCTTAGGGGCAGCGCGCGCTGCAAAGAGAGACAATACTGGCGCAGCAGAATGCGTAAACGACGTAAACTAACAATTTATGTTAGGCGGCCTTGCATTAGTTGATCGGTTACTGGCATAGGCGTAGGAACAGGGGGGCAGGGGGCAATGGTCCCCCACTTTCGAATGGGGGCCAGCAATGTTAACTGCCCCCCCCCCCCCCACACACACACACCTTTTGCTGACTTTTCACTTCTCACGTTTCACGCTCGCTCGTAATAAAAAGTGTTTTTGGATGCTTCTGAAATTCGCATGGGTGCCAAGCAGTGGCGGATCCAAGGTGGGATCACATAGGTCATGCCCCCGGGGGCACCACAGGCGGCCTACTAGGGGCACCACCGACCGGTTACAGGACAATTTGCCGAACTGCATTTTGCCGAATGCTTATTCGCCGAATGTCAATATGTCGAATGCATTTTGCCGACGGGTCTTTTTGCCGACGTGTCAAAAGGGCGAAGTGCTAAAAGTCGAAATGCAATTTGCCGACATGCCTTTTTGCCGACGTGCAATAAGTCGAAAATGTCAATTTGCCGAAATGTCAATTTGCCGAAATATCAATTTTCCGAAAAGTCAATTAGTCGAAATGTCAATTCGCCGAAATGCTAATTTGTCGAAATGCTAATTAGTCGAAATGTAAATTTGCCGATATGTCAATTTGCCGAAATGTCAATTTACCGAAAAGTCAATTAGTCGAAATGTCAATTTGCCGAAATGCCAATTAG